CTTCCCGGTAGTGGATATTGAACCCAAAGTCCTATATACTAGGCAAGCACTGTTTGCTACATGTCCCACCCTTTTTTTATTTTTACTTTGTTTTGAGACAGGGTCTTACTAAATTGCCCAGATTCTTGTCGAACTTTTAAAATTCTCCTGCCTCAGCCTCCTGAGTAGTGGGATTATAGGCATGTGCCACCATGCACAACGAAAAAAAATTCTTCATAAAGTCTACTTTATCTTTGTCCACTTGCAGTTACTGCTTATTAAAATGACCTAAGAAATCTTTGTAGTCATATGTTTTAGACATCTGCTTTTATTTCACAAGCATATTAAACATACCTGTTCTGTATTCCCTGCCTAACAATTCCAATGTCAAGCGTCTTTTGAAGTTTTGCTTCTACTGTTTATGGTTTCTCTTCACTGTTGGTCATGATAACTCGTTCCCTATGTGTTTTATAGTTTTTGTTTATGGAAGTCTGTCTGTGGGAGTTTGTTGAGGTCTGTGTTGAGGGAGCATTTCCTCAGGGATTATAAAAATTTATACGAAGGAATGTTTTCATAAAAAATGGAAAACACTAAAAAAATTGAGTGAAGTCAATGTTTTTCTTTTATGAGTTCTCTTCCGCACTCATGAGTTTTGTTCATGAGATGTATTGCGATGCAGTCTTGATGTGTGTGCGCTCTCTAGGGCAGGAACACAGGCCCTGGCAGCTGCTAGACAAGTGGTGGGTCACTGAGCTCTTCTCCCAGCGCCCGCCTCTTCACTGCTGAGTAGGAATCCATTGGATGACTACCCCACAGTTTGCGTATCCACTTTACTGTTGGTAGATACTACATGGCCCTGTGAATGTTCTTGTAGAGTTCACTTTGTGGACATATGTTTTCATTTCTCTTGAGTAAATTCCAAGGAGTGGAATTTCTGGGTCATAGGGTAAGTGTATGTTTAACTTTGTAAGAAACTGCCAGACTGTTTTCCAAAGGGGCTGTACCATTTTATACTCCCACTGGAAATGTAGGGGATTGGTTTATTCTACATAGTTGCCAACAATTGGTATTTTTGTCTTTCATTTTACCCATTCTAATGGGTGGTAGCTCACTGTGGTTTTAATTTGCATTTCCCTGAGGTCTAATGGGGGTAAATATCTTATTGTTTGCTCCTTAGCCATTAATAAATCTTTTGTG